TACTGTAGTGGGTTAGAGAGGGGGGCTGGGGCTGGTATAAGTGTGCTGGGGGAAAATGGGTAAGGTAGGGGGGAAGAAGGTGTTGTGCTGTGCTGTGCTGTGCTGTGTTGGTTACTTGGTGTTAGGGGGGTATACTCCAGTATTGTTGTATGTACTGCTAGCTCTCCTTTGTGTGGTGGTTGCTGGGTGGTGATGTACATAAAGAGATGGTATACATTTGTGATCCGAACCGAACTGAATCCAACTCTTTGGTGAACTGATGCATGGATGCATACCTAATCTTTGTTGCAAGGCTAGTCCAATCTGCCCCTGGGTCTGAACATGGTTAATTTGCAAGCTCTGAATCTTATTTTTACTGTACTTCAGTACTTTGGCAGTTCTCTTCTCCTGTGCTGATGGATGTTGGAGGCGTTGGTGGGCAGGTGATGCTACTGATTTCGCATGCCTGTCGCGTATGGAGATGAGCTGGTAGAAGTACATCACATATTTTCACATACCTCGGGTGAATCTGTTGGATGGCGGCGATTGCTCGTCGACGGCTCGTCGTGTCTCGGTATCTGGAACGACGACCCCCACGCGTGGCGGCGCTGGTGGATAGCCACGCCGCGGCGTCAGGTGTGGGGCGGGGCGGCGCGATTTCTCAGGCGGGTTTTGGCGACGGCGGGGAGGAGGCTGCTGCGGTCGGCCGGTGGCCGCCACCGCAACCGCGATCTGAGCTGAGGAAGGACGATACTGATTTGGAACGGGCCGTGGGCCGGGAACGCGGCTCTGTATGAATTTGGGCCTGGGCTTCCTCTAGGCCCAGTAGCATGGCTGATGTACGGTGTGGATGGGGGCCCTCGGGAGGGTCACGGTCGGGCTCGGTTGGCGGGCTGACGGGAATGCCTCAACCGCAACGGTCTTCTTCTAGAGTCGCAGACTGACCGACCGTGATAGCGATGCATATGCTGACGAAAATATATGCGTAAAATCATATATTCAAAATAAGTTGTTCGAGAAATTGCTAAGCGCACAAGATGCATGCATGGCTCAATCATTAGAAAAATCATTAGTAGGAAATCTGAGTTTCCCAATTGTATTTTTTGTTTCGTAGGTCGTGTCTCGAATGTTGAGTGCCAAGTTTTGGCATTCTCTGGATCAGGGTAGACACGTCTGGACTTGGCCAACCCCATGTATTCCACTATTTTGTAAATCTTGATGAATAAAGCTTGGCTAATTGTTTAAAATAAATACAGGCGAAAATACAATTCTAAAAATGAACACAAAAAGACTATGGTGCCATATGGTTTAAAATTGTAGGCTATCAATCTTTTGTTCTGCTCACATGTGATGTTTCTCGAAGAAATAACACCCGTGCCATTTTTAATGAAGAAAACAAAATCATGTCTCCAAATTACTTTAAACATGGTCTTTTCTGTAGCATCGATTATAATGTTTTGCCTATAATCTTACAGATGATCACACATGGGTAAAACACTCAACCGTACCCCTTTACCTCTCGTAAGTGCACATGTGATTAGGGCTTCTCCGCCTTCGGTCTGTCGCCGGTCCATGTCGTCTTTGGTGGCCTCAGAGCATCTACAACCGGACTTGGCAAATCTGGTCCCTATACGTCCGCGGACGCATCCGGACAGTCCCTTATATTTCACTGCTGGCATCCACATACTCAAATCCGGACTCTCAAATCCATGCACGTCGATCATATAAACCACTATTGCACGTAAATAACAAATGTTGGCACCGAACATAAATAGTGTTTACATAAAATTTATTTTAAGTGCATAACTCAAACATCAACTCTTTAGTTTCCATTATGGGTTCACATGTGCTCCACAAGATCATTGAGTAGCTGCGTGCGCACCTGATGATCTCGAAGATTCCGATGCATATGCAAAAAGTTCATAAGCTGAGTTGCATCTTGATCTTCCGGGATTTCAATTCGTTCTTCAGGTTCTTCAAAATCATTGGTTTGGACTACACCATCACCCTCATCCTCGATAAATCATATTGTGCAAAATAACGCAACATGTCATCAGCCGACACAAAGTTTCTGATTTCCACATCATCGCAGCGCTACGCACAATTCCCCAACGAGTTTGAAGCACAACAAATGCCCTCTCCACGTCCTTCCTAGCCGCTTCCTGCATTGGTGCAAAATGCCTCTGTTTATTCCCCTACAAGCTAAGAACAACTGCGGAGTGCGCGCGGCAGCGGAGCTGCGAGACGTATGGCGCGGAGGAGGAAGAAGAGAGGAGGTAATCCGGCAGGTGGTGGATTTGAGACAATTTACGGTGGGGTCGGGTTGTCGGGTTTGGCATGGCGGGCACATCCAGGCGCCCCATATCTGCCCCATATTTGGGTTGGATATGACGAGTGTTGGTCAGCCCAGGCGTTGAGGCGCCCGTCTGGGTCAGAAATTTCGTGACCGGACAATGATTGGGTGGCCCGCCCGGGCGTATGAGGCGGGTTTGAGGCGTCCGGTTGTAGTTGTTCTTAGGGCCATGGAGGCATGATCGACCTTGCCCCTTGCTGGCGAAACGATTCATACTTTGTTTTTAGGTGTTTCTAGGTTGGTTAGGGTCTGTGTCCAACTCGGGAAGGCGAGGCGACGACGACTCCCTGAATATAGAATAAGATCCTTCCCGCTTAATCCACATCTCAACGGTGCATCTACTGTCGTTGCAGGGTGTGTCTCTAGTGTATCTCATGGGATTCGATCGATGTTGGTCTTCAATTAATCTATGTGTATCCATTCTTCATTTTGTGTATCTGCAAGTTGGATCACAGTGCAACACAGGATAACAAAATGCGAGTCTACTCAAATATTACATCTTTGGAGCACTCACCCGCAATAGTGCGGGCACCCTTTAGGACACTCTTATAATACATCTCGGGCGTGCGATGCTCCTTGCCCTGCGGTGGCGGGTCCGTCACAAGCTTCTGGGCATCCATCTTGCCCCAGTGCACCTTTGCACGGGCAAGGGCCCGACGGGCACCCTCAATACAAGCGGAGTGCTTGATGACTTCAACCCACGGGCACGCATCCACCAGCTGCCGCACCAGTCCGAAGTAGCTCCCAGGCATGGCCTCTGTAGGCCACAGCAGAACTATGAGGCCCTTCATGGCCTGTTCGGCCACCTTGTGGAGCTCAACCAGCTGCTTCAGCTGGTCGCTAAGGGGCACCGGATGTCCGGCCTCAACATACTGAGACCAGAAGACCTTCTCCGTCGAGCTCCCCTCCTCGACCCGGTAGAATGTGGCAGCATTGGATACGCTGCGAGGAAGATCTGCGAACGTTCCTGGAGAGCTCCGAATTTGGGTAAGTAACAGGTAATTAACACTCACATGCTTACTTTGCATGAAAAATGCCTTACCCGCCGCTATTTTCTTCAATTCCTTGATTTCTTGGAGGGCCTTATAGGCTTCGGCCTTAGCGGCTTTGGCACTCTCAAGAGCCGTCGCAAGCTCGGACTTTCGAGTCTCCGAGTCACACTCCAAACTCTCATGTTTTTCCATGAGAGCCTGGAGCTCTTGCTGTACCTCCGCCACCCGCGCCTCCTGCTTCTCTCGCTCGAAGCGTTCCGCGGCCGCATTACGTTCGGCCGCGGACACCGCCTCCTTCAGGGTCGCCACCTCGCTAGTGGCCCCTACAATACCCACGTTATCCTTGTCATTCTTCTTGCAACCAAAATCCTTTTCTGTAAGGTACAATTTTAATAAGGTGTTACTCACCTTCCTTGTCCTCGAGCTGCTTTTTGGCACGGCCGAGCTCGTTCTCGGACCGCTCGAGGCTTTCCTTCAAAGTATTGACCTCCGCAGTCAGTGCAGCGGAGGTCAGCAGCACAGCCTGCAATCTCATATTGACATATTTTTATGACTCCTGCGTATATCTTTTTACGATCCTCAGTCCGGCTTTTCTTTCCAAACACCGAACCGAGCATCAGGGGCTACTGTCTATGTGGTACCATTTTATATATATCGAAATTCTTACCTCAAAGCCTGTTAGAAGGCTGCTGCAGGCTTCGGTCAGCCCGCTCTTGGCGAGTTGAACCTTCTGAATCACCGCACTCATAACAGTGCGGTGTTCCTCTTTAATGGAGGCGCCATTGAGCGCCTCTAGCAAGTTATCCGGCGCCTCTGGTTGGACGGAGGTTGCCGGCGTCACGGTCTTGCCCTTCTTACGAAGGGGTCGCCCGCCGGACTCCGGAGCCACTATGGGTTTCGGGGCCGAGTCCGGTGCAAAGTCCGGGAGGTTGTCCTGCGACACCTCCGGAGCCTCCTCCTCCTGGTGGGTCCCTTCCCGGGATCCCACCTCGGCATCATCCGCGTCACGGGGGGTGGAGGCAGTCGAAAGAGAATCCATATCCGACGCACCTAAGGACCCGCTCGACGAATCGGGAAGATCATCCTTGGGCGGACTGCAGGGTTGTATGCGGCATTAGAAAGACATTATGTGGCGAAAAGAGAAACCATGAAATTATTCGGGAGTCCGGATACTTACGATCTCGCCAGGGGCTTGGCCCATGGAGGCCAGTCCTCGTCGTCGTCACTGGCGTTGGCAGAGCAGTCCGGGGAAAGAGTTTTTCCCTTCTTGGACCCTTCGGCCTCCCCCGTAGGGGAAGCCTTCCGTTTCTTCTCTCCCCCCGCTGGGGGAAAGGCTTTCTTCTTCTCCTCCTCGCCTTTGTGGGAGGAGTCGGCCTCGGAGTCATCATCTGATAACACCTAAAAACGGGAACTCTTTCGAGTACCCGTGGCCTTCTTCTTGGCCTTCTTCTCTGGCACCACGTGGGGTGCCGGAGCCAGCAGCCCCATTAAGCGGGCGTCCGCTGGGTCCTCTGGCAATGGGGCCGGACAGATAGTCTGTTCGTCCTTCGCCAACCAGTCCTGTCAAAGGTAAAGGGAGTTTAGATCCTGCATAGAGTCAAACTATGGAAAACGAGCGTTCCGTAAAGGACAAAATCACTTACCTCGTCAGCCGGGCGCTGCGAGTGGAATCCGCGATCTTCGGTAGCGGATGCGGGAGCCTCGGGGCCCTTGAACAGCACCTTCCAGACATCTTCGTACGTAGTGTCGAAGAGCCCTCTCGGAGTCTGGTGCTGCGCCGGATCAAACTCCCACATGTTGAAACCCCGTCGTTGGCACGGGAGAATCCGGCGGATGAGCATGACCTGGACTACGTTGACAAGCTTGAGCTTCTTGTCCACCAGCTTTTGGATACAGGCTTGGAGTCCGGTCAGCTCCTCCGAATCACCCCAGATCAGGCTACTCTCTTTCCAGGAGGTGAGTCGTGTAGGGATGCCGGATCTGAATTCGGGGGCCGCTGCCCATTTAGGGTCACGCGGCTCGGTGATGTAGAACCACCCCAATTGCCACCCCTTAATGGTTTTCACGAAAGTGCCCTCCAGCCAAGTAACGTGGGACATCCTGCCCACCATGGCGCCTCCGCACTCCGCTTGGCTGCCCTTCACAACC